AATTAGAAATAGCACAGATTTCTTGAGAATAATTATATATAGATTAGAAATTTTATGTTTGAAAAACAATTATGCTTTTTACAGAATTAGAATATAACATAAATATCTGAGAAGGAAGAATTAATCCTATTTAAGTAAAGCTGATTTTCTAAAGTTAAATTGCACTATGTGCTAGACTATATTTTGGGGACACTCACTCCTATACCTACACGTAAGTATATGTTTTGCTTTTAAGAGTACTGTTTACAGTATTTCATCAAATACAATAAAATTCACAATATATTTCTGCTAATTTAAACCTAAATATACCATAGGAATGAAAAAAGCAGGGAAACAGCTGAGTGTCAAGAAGCAGGAGACTTGGGCCAGGTAAAAAATTAATACGCATTTACAGAATCTAGGAATGAACTGGCAAAGGTTAATAAAAATGATTCTCCTAAGAATCTGGGAAATGCTCTGGAAAATATAAAAATCATGAACTTACCTCTGAAATATGATCTTCTAACTTGAAGATGTAATGTTAATATATCAGAAATAAACATGGAACTTTTAACTTCTTTCTCCTTGAAATCATGCAAATTATGCTACTAAGACAGGTTTGAGACACATTCATCAGGCTCCTTATCATTACTGAGAATGGTGAAAACAGTTTGCTTGACCACAGATTCACCAAAACCTACCATGCTTTTATACCAGTCCCGAATATTCTAAGACAGACGAGGCAAGCAACCTTACCATTTGTTTGTTGCCTAAAAATAAAGTGCCTTTCCCTTCATGTTATGTTCTTGTTCTATTTGCTTTACTTTCACATGATCCACCCACAGGAAAAATGGTTATTTGAATGGTCAGGAGACAAAAAAAGCAAGGTCATTAAACAAAAACTGTCATTACACTATCTCCCTACTTGACAACTCATCTGAATGGTGAACATCCCCCATGGGCCAATATAACCCATTTCTAAGATCACACTTCTCCCATAATGAAAATACATTAACTTCCACCATACTTCCTTGAACATGGCAGTGAGAAAGATCAGCTCAGGTTCAAAGGAAAGGGACGTAACTCCACATCTTGACGGAGTAGTGGCTATGTTCTGGAAAAGCATGAGGGACCTGAAATATTGTTGGGGTCATTTTTGGAAAATGCAGCCTGCCATAGGTTTCTTTTGTAAAGTGGAAAAAGGGTGACTACGAAAAGCTAGAAGGGAAAAAGGAGAACTGGCATGATCCACTGAACATGGAAATGTTCTTTAGGCAGATCGGTTTGAACACAGGACCTATGGGAACTGAGGATCTGGATTCCCTTAAAGCTATCTACGCCTGCATTTCCCTTTGACAGCTAAGTACTCCCAGGAGAAGGCATACCTTCGTTTGAAGATGCAGCAGTAAATTATACTTTCGTTTTTTAATTATCTGAATATCTAAGATGCATACTTGACTAAAAATTTTTCTGTTACTTAGCATTTCTATGGAGGTAAAAATGTGTATTCTGAAACACACAAAAAATCATTTTTCATTTTAAAGAATGATCAATTCCTTTCACTCAGATAAAAATAGGCTAATAATAGAAACAAACCAAATTATCAATGTTGCAAGAAGTTTGATACCTGAATATACTAACTAGAGCAAACAGCAGTGCACCTTTCCTGAGGACAAAAAATGTTTCTTTCAGAAAAAGTCAGATCTCTGGAAGTAGATGTTGGTAGTTTGGTAAGAAAGAAATTTCACATTTAGTTGTTTAACATTACACTTATAAGGTATGTAGTGAAATAAGATGCACATAAACCATTAGAACAGTTACAATTTGAAGGTCTTCCAAATACGATATGAACGCATTGGCACAAAAATCCTTCCTGACTTCTTTTCATCTTTGCCAATAACCCAGTGATCTCTAAGAAATAGTTTAATAATTATTTCCAAATGCCATTTCCTAAAGATATTTCTTATCTCTGAAGTTCAATAAAAGGTTTACAAAAGTATTCTACTTGCTCTAATTTTCGTTACACATCATGATCTCAAATCATCTGGAAAGAGATTAGGGAATAAACACATTCCCTTTAAAATATTGGGGAAAATTACTCACCTACTACCCTTTTTATACACAGGAGATAAGGTAGAGCAACACAGTTGTTACAATCAGAATGTCTGCATTCATTCACCAAATACTTATTAAGCATCTACTATTTTCCAGGCATCATTCTAAGAGCTGAGGATGTAGGGGTGAATGAGAAAGCAACAGCTACCATTTATTGAGTGCTTACTATGTGCCAGGCTCTGGCCTAAGAGTTGCACATACATAAACCCATTTAATCCTCAAACACAATACCTCTATGACATGGGTACTATTAATTTCTTTATTTTACATATGAGAAAATTGAGGCATAGAGAAGTTAAATAACTCATCTAGCTAGTAATTGATAGAAATAATCCTGGCTCTCACGGAGCTTCCATTAATCTACAATCCTTCCCTTCTCCTTTTCTTCTTTGCCTCTGTGAAAGACCTAATGAGCAGACAAAACCGGATATGGCTGAAATAAGTGGTGTGACCATTTCATTTATAGATGTTCTTTATGGGAATATTTAACAAAATCTTAACTAGCTCTATCTTCATCATATATTGAGACCTCAAAATATCTAAAAATCCTGCATGTTATAAGACTCGGTTTTGTTTAGTCAGGGGAAAAAAATCCCTTCATATTTTTCTATTACTGTAGGTATATATATATATAGCATCCCTTTCTTTGGAAAACCACTTCTCTAATCCAGGTAGGCCTGGTGGGGCTGAAGATCATGGGACTCCTGAAGATCATGGGGGCGGTCCATGGTTCAAGCTAATTAGGCCTCAGTGCCTCGGTGAGTTATTGGTTCAGGACTGCAGAAACATGATCTAAGCATGGCAAATCTGTCTTCCCTGGGATCGACAGAGTTGGGAAATGTTCTGCAACGGGAAGTGATCTGAGACTGCTGGTAGCCCCTTTCCTTGGCCTCAAGAGAAAATGACTCCACAATACTGAGGGATGTAGAGTAGAGACATTCAGATCCTGAACACTTTAATCTAGCTATGCAAGAAATAGACCTACTCCTGCCCACTCCAGTTAAATAGGCATAAAAGGTACAAATATCATTTTTGACTTAAGCTTAAGTGGGTTTCTGTGACTTCCAATCAAATTTCAATGCATTTTTACAAAAGTATTACATAAAATATGCACGAAGAACAATGGTTATAATGAATATGAATGAATTCTTTTATTCTTTTCCTTCATCCCTCTTTCTCTACAAATATAGAACTGTCTACAGTTCAAAGCATGTTTTATCTATTTCATTTTCAAAAGTAGTATGCAAAATATTTACCTATCAATTCTAAGTGATTACAAAGCATTATTTTAATAATTCTACTTCTTTAGCATATGACAACACCACAATATAGCTAGAAAGACAAAATGTTTTATTTTAAAACATTGAAAAAACATTAAAAGACAAATGTCCATTATATAGCCAAGAATGTTAAATATTTGGAAATCATAAATCTTCCAAAATGTGGCAGGCACTTCCAGAGAGCTAGATATCGCAAATTATCCTACTATATGTCTTCCCTAATACCAACAATACTTGATATGATGAAAAATATCAAGAAGGCCCAACTAATTGTTCAAAGTCACCATCTTAGGGTTCAAGTTAATTACACAAGTAAGTTCTGTCCAAGATGTTCCTGACACATGAAGCTTCCAGGTGAATTTCAGAAATGTTAACAAAAGTATCTTCCTTTTTTGCCTGTGCATGTTTGAGTATTGCTGTACTGTTGGTTAATATCCACTACAGACACTGGTTCTAGGCCAGCCCAAGGGTCTTCAAGCATTGAAGGCTTGAAATAACTTTCCAACTCATTAGACATTCTCTTTTCTCTACCACGCCCTGATCCAAATGGTGTAGATGTCCTTGGAGAACCCTTTAGAAAAAAAACCATCAGTTAAAAAAACATTTAGTAGAGATAATTGGTACTTTTTAAAGAAAGCTACTGGGGATCCATTGCTAGTTAAGTTTGTGTCTTGAGCCCAGATACGTTCAACTGCAAAGTCCATGCTTCCTTTAATCCAGTGTTTCTGTCTGTAAAAACTATTTAGACTAATTTGATATACTCATTTATTAATCATTCCATGCCCACTGTCACCTCAAATACTCTTGGATTTCTAATGTAGTATCTTTGCAGAACTATCAATTGATGATGACATAAAAAATTAATTGTATTCAATTTTTCCTCAAAATTTCAATCTTTTTTTCTAGAGAAAAATTTAAAAAATTTTTTCAACCCTAAGCTGCAAAATTTCTAGAAGCTTTCCATCTCGTGAAACTTTATCTCCCTAGCTCCAGCCTCAAAGGGGTCGGGGTTGGTTTAGCATAAGGAAAGCTGGAAACCACTCAAGTTTTAAACCACAGAAACCCTAGACACACCAGAAACATTCCCTGTCTCCTGTATTCAGTCTCCCTGAGCGGCACGGGAAACTTCCACTATCCACTGAATCTCCCTTGAAAAGACTTGGAGCAGAAGCCAGTGTAGTTCGAAAAAAGTCACACCGCCCCCGCTAAAAAGGTGCCAGCAGGAGGAAGACGGCACCAGTCTATAACCCTACGACCGAGATGAAATCTACGCCGGAAATTCACTGGCTTTTTTTCCCCCTCGGAGACCGGGGGTCAGAATCACTTACTGAGACGAACAGGCAAAGCCCCTGGCAGAGGAGAGGGACTTAGGGACATCAGTGTGGGGGTGGCAGCGGACTGGCTAGAAGCAGGAGGGCTCTAGAAACACAAAGTACAGCTCTGCCACTTTTTAGGGTAACCTAAAGAAAGTTACTTAACTTCTCTAAGCCTCAGTTTATTCATCTGCAAAACGGGGCTAACAATCGTATCTCACCTCATAGAGGATTAAACAAAATAATCCACGGAAAGGGATTATTAGTACCATGCCTGCCAGACAGTAAGCTCGGCACACGCTGGCTATATTACCTGGGGGTGGGTCTGCTGCTGCCCTGGGGAGTAGCCGAATTGCTGCTGGGACCCCGCGGGGGACTTGGAGTAGGAGCCAGGGTAGCCGCCAGGGGACGGAGACCCGAACCGGCCCCCCGGGAAGCTGCCGCCGGGCCGCGGAGAGTGGCTGCTTCCGTAGGGCCGAGACCGGGGCCCGTATGGCGGCGTGTGGTGCGGACTCCCGTACCCGTCCCGAGGGGAGGGCGGCCGCGCTCCGCCTCCGCCCGGGGTACCCCGGAAGCTGCTCCCGCCACCCCAACCTCCTACGCCCGGGCCGGGGTAAGGAGGAGTCGGGGGGCGAAAATTCTGTCGGTGCATCTCAGGAGCCGCAGACGAAGACCTCACCGCCGCCTTCTCCCGCCGGAACTGTCCCGACCAACCCTGCACAGAGCATTGGCGGTCCTTCACCATAACAGTCCTCCGGCCGCCCACGCCGCACAGCACCTTGGTTCCGGCCTCGCAAAGGTTCCGCCAAAGCCGGCGGGGTAAGTGGGTTCTCAAATTGGGTGGAGATTGAGCGGATTTAAGTGAAGGAAGGAAGAAGAAAAAGGAGCAAGGAAGGGCCGAACACCCGGCCCCGACAATGGCCTCTGCAGTCTCGCGGTCTTTGGTAGGGACGGACGGACGGAACGTGCGCCCCGCAGTGACGCGAGCCCGGAGCGCTCCTGCGGGTCCGCCCGGCCGGCTGGCGCGGGGCGGGGCGGGGCCTGGCGGGTCCGCGGGCGCCCCCAGCGGCTGCGGGCGGCGCGCGGCGTTCTCCCCTCGTGCGGGCGCCGACGAGCTGAGGCGCGCGATGCTGGCGAGGGGCGCGGCGCTGCGGAGGACCGGCCTGCTCTGCGGCCGGGGCGGCGGGCGGGGGCTGTGGACCGGCCGCCCGCAGTCAGGTACCCTCCGAGACCCGGGCGGGCGGCGAAGGGGACCCTGGCCCCGGCCTCCCCCGCAGGCGGCGCCCCGAGGAGGGCGCCCGCGCTCGCCTGCAGTGTCCGCTGCGCCCGCAGCCCGCGCCGTGGCCCTTCCCGCCTCCCGGGCCCTCGCCCCGTGGCCCGCGGCGGGCTCCGGGCCGGGCGGGCGGACCCTCGCCTCTCCCCCTGCCCCTACCCGCTCGTCCCCGAAGTTTAAATAACTTAGAAACGGTGCACCAGCCGACTTTCAGGAAGGATTCTAGGGTTGAGAAATACCGCACTCTGCTCCCTCCTTCTGGTCGAATGGAAGCGGGTAAGGGAGGAGGTTAGGATGCACGTACTGATTTTCCAAAAGAGCAAAATCTGCCCAAAGCTCTTAAAATCGTGATTGTTTCACCCACTTTTAGAAAGAAAACCGTGATGATTCAAGGATGACACCTAACGTTTAATCAGACACGCCCTTGGACCAGACACCTGTCCCAGAATTTTATTTAGAATTTGAAATTTAGATTTACTGTAGTTTTAAAGAACTTCCTTGACTCCCTTAGAATTGGAGAAAGATAGTCTGCTGAGTCTTGAGATCAGACTGCAGTGAACCGAATCTTTTAGGCAACTTGAGGACTCATTAAATCGTAGCCTAAGGGGTTAGCCGGGACCCACGCTTTTCAGCCTCGATCCCTTCTTGCAGGTGCCACTCCTCACTGTGTCTTTGACATGTTCTGTGACATGTCTAGCCGGAGACTGTGATGTCTTCTCAGCTTCCATCCTTGACGAGTGGAGATACACCGTTTCTCTGTTGTGGTTTATTCTGAGAGAATTCGGTTCACCAAATTTCTCCTTAGGAAGCGAGTTGTAGAATCAGTCAAGGCAGGATAGTGCCATCAGGGCTTTGTGATGCAATTAAGGCCTGAGGACCAGATTATCCACTTTGTTATATACTTCTGTCCTGGCCAAAAACTCGCCTTTCTGGACATTGTCTTTGATGCTTAACTTAATGCCGGGTAATTGAGCACTCACATATTTATGGAATGAATGAATGGGTCACATCGTATTGATCAGTGATTCTCACCTGACATACCTTTATGTCATCAACCAATCTACTTTTCTGGGAGGAGGGAGCAGAAAAATGAGGGTGGTGGGGACCAAAATTACCTTTATTAATTTTTTTATAAGTGGCAAATGATTTGCAGAATTGAGGAAAATACTATAAGTTGTCTTTTTACTTGGCTTACACTTCTAGAATGCTCTTCCCTATAGTGATATCTTGCTATCTTCTACACATATGAACTTGCATTAGAAATGGTGGAGGCAAAGAAATACATTGGAAAATTTTTGATAGATAATTATGCATGACATCGTGCCCTTCATCACATTTGCAGGTGTACATGAAGATTGAGGGAGAGTAAATTCTTAATAATTATATGAAAACTCCAGATTCCACTTGCATCACTTCTGAGAATGGGCCACTTGCCTTTTCACATATGAGAAATTGACCAAGAGAAGTTAAGTGACTTGCTTAAGTTCACATAGCAGGCAAAGGTGGGACCAGAACTCAGCCTTCCTGAATCCCAGGCGATTGTTTTTTTTTCCCTAAGTAAAGAAATATGAATTGACAGTCTATTTGAAAAATGCAGTAGACAAATGTGCATGCAAAATTTTGAAAGTGGTACTGTGTAGCATATTACTTCAGATTTAGAGATTAGTAGTTATAGCCTTATGTAGAATTTTTATAAAGGTAGCTAGAATCTTCCCAAGTGTTACCCAGGGAATTGCAGTCCGGCTGCCTGAACTGTTGGGTGTGAGGTCTCCAGGCATCTATTTGTATTGAATTTATTTGTGTGGTGATGAGTTCAGGGGAAGAGAGATGAGGGGAAGGGGAGAAAGTTTTGTTAGGTAGTAAAGTGAACTGGGATGATGGATATGAGAGCATGGTGGCTGCCCCATGAACTGAGTCCTCTGGAGAGAAAAGGACACTTCTTATTTTTGTGAGTGACAGAGATATGGTTCCCACAAAAAGAAAATTGCAGCACTGTTTAGGGAGGATCACCTAAACAGGATCCTTCAGAGGGCAATTCTTTCATGGAAGATGCTCTTAGTGGCTAGCTGCTGTCTCAAGTGGCATTGTAGACTGACATCAACAGACAGAATGTCAAAGAACTTTCTGAGTACCCATGAACTATGTGAGGAGCCCCGGAAATAATTGGTTGTCTTTGTGTTTTCCAAGTTTACATTAATGCAAATAAAAGCACCAAGCCAAGAAATTTAAGAGTAAATGTAAATAAGGCCTTATCTGTTTCTTGAAGACTGAGGATCGTTATTAACCTAACCCAAGATTTTTTGGTGTTTCTTTTTTCAGTGGATTTCAATTTTTTTTTTATAGAGCCTTATCTTCAAACAACCATACTTGGAAGTCCAAAATATGAGAGCAGATGGGCTATGTTTGAAGCAGGAATTGAGATCCCAGAGCCCTACTCTCTCTACTTTAACCGCCCCTCCCCCCAAGAGGCTTCTGGGGCATCTGTGAGGAATTCCTAGGACTTTCCAGAAAGGATTTGAAAGCCAGTATTTTAGGAGATGTCAAGTATTAACATGTACTGCAAATATAAATACTTTAGTTAGTTTTACTGTGAATTATTAAGAAGTGAATATTTTCATGTTTCTGCATGGTCAGGGCTTTCAAAGCCAAGAAAACTAGCACCTCGGTTAAAGGGCAAGCCTTGGAAGTTAAAAGATGACTGAATAGATTGTTAGAGAACTCTCAGGAAGTTTATGTTTATATTTCAAAGGGGTATAAAACTCAGAGCCTTGGAGACATTCCTGAGATTGAGATTGTAAACCCAGTGAAGTTTATCTTCCCCCGCCAGAGACATTTATATACATACATTCCAGAGGGTGAGAAGCCAGTGACCTTTCCCTTTTCTTCCCAAGGAGAGTTTGTTTACATTACGGAGATTAGCTTTTTCTGCCTTTTTCAGGGGAACGTGGCAGCTGGGCAGTTATCCTATACAAATTTCCAGGTTCATAATTTTGGGGACATTTCCTCTGGTTCAACCCCTGTATGTGCAGCCCTAACCAACTGACTGTCATTACAACACCTGTGGCATATTAGGTGTGAGAAAAATGGTGCGTTTCTTGATGTAGGTAATAATTAACTCTGCTCTCTGCTCCAGAAACCTCGTGTTTACTTTCAGGCTAAAAGTGAATAAATATAGATATTATTACCTTACATATTTTTGATGTAAAACACATTAGGAGAATGTATTTAATAATTTCTATGTGTAGAAATATTTGTATGTATACTTAGAGCGTAAGCTTTATCTTATTATTTCCTGAAACTTTTCAGATTATCTCAGTTTTCCTTATAGAGGTCCTGTTGTTAGCTGTTTTATGTTAAAGACTGTCAATAGTAGAAAAGTAAAGGCATCTCTAGGATGTGATTAGCTCATGCATTGATAGGGTTACTCCTGCGCTGAACACAGTAGACCACTTCACTGTCTCTTAAGTACTCATTGATAGAGCAGGTATTAGAAGCAACTTGTTTCCAAGAATCTCTGCGAGCCTAACTCTACTGTTAATGACCTTCTTTTTAATTCTAGGCATGTATCCATTGTCCATGATAGTCAGGCACAGGTGAAATGTTTTATGCATATTTATTTCTTGCAGACTACTACTCTTCACCCAGGTGTAACACAAGTGTTAATGCATTAACTCACACTTATAAAAGTTTTCATTGGAAATAATAAAATTGCTAACAGAATGCTTTGATATGAAGAAAAATGTAAGAGGATATGAATACTGTTTTCTGGACACATTTTTGTTTTAAAATGACTCAATAAAATTTTAATGTCACTAGAATTTGTATCTTTCTATTTTTCCAATTATAAAAACAATACATGCTTTTTGTAGAAAACCTGCAGTGCTTAGAAAAATAGAAAGCAAGAAAAAATATTAGTCTCTTATCCAAGAAGCAACTACTTAATATTTAAACAGAAAAAATAAATCTCAGATAGTATAAATCTTTAAATAGGAAAATAAAAGCTTTTGAAATGGGAAAACCAACTATATGAGTATTTGTATAATCTGGGCTTAGAGAAACATGATATCTGTGCAGAAAAGAGTTAACGTAGCAGGTCTGAGGCTGCTAACTTTAGAGGGACCTTCTTACAAGTTTCGCTGTTGGTTGTCATCTGAGAACCCGGCACTCAAACTGCTTCCTAATGAATAAAGGTGCCTAGATGGTTTGTAGAATAAGTGTGATTTATGGTGAACACCTACTTTTCTTCTGGGAGTCTGGAATCTAGGTACATGGTAAGCAGAGAGTGCCTTTGTGGATAGCCCTCAATAAAAACCTTGGATTCTGAGTTTATAGTAGACTTTCCTGAGCAGAAACATTGCACTTATTACTGTATTTTTTGTTGCTGGAGAAAGAAGCATGCTTGGTGTGGTCCTTCATGGGAGGGAGAGAGCATAAGGAGCCTGTGCATGGATGTTTCCAGACTCTGTCTGTCTTTTTCCCTTGCTGATCCTGTCATATATCATTTTGGTATAATAAACCTTATGTTGAATGAATGCAACTATATGCTGAGTCCTGTGAATCCTTTTAGCAAATCACTAAAGGTGTGGATAGTCTTGAGAAATCCTGAAACGATACCAAACACGGACAGCAAAATGATTTTTTTTGAAAGTGAAATTCTAAAACAATTCAAAAAAGCAAACAGAGAGGGAAAAATTACTTTTACTAAATATGACTGATAAAAGGTTAATATTCT